GATTATAATTTCTTTCAAAGTAAATTCTATTGTAAAATTTTTATAAAAATTTTAAAAATTAATTAAAAGTAAAAATTATTACTACAAAATATACTAAGATTAATAACACTAAAAATTATGATTTAGATTAGTGAATACAAAAAAAATATCTATAAAAAATTTAAATATAAATATATGATTATTAGACTATAATAAAATATCACTCTCCTTCAAAAATAAAGTAATAGATGTTTAATATATACGTAATATAATATAAAAATTAATTCTCAGTATTAATATTTCGAATTAATTATTACCAAGAAATGTTTCTGAAAAAAATATATGTGGACAATATTTAAAGTTATTAATCTTATGATAATATCAAAATAAAGTAAAGTTGAAAAATGTGAAAATATATTCTCTTGCATCGGGAAAAACTTTTTAGTATACTATGTGGCTTTAATGTATTATATCTGTTTGTGTTTATGCACAAGAAAATCCTTCCTACTTTTCTAAAGATCACTTGCAGATATACAAAAATATCTTAAGGTTCTTAAAAAATTGAATAATAGCGCAAGTTTTTCGATAGATTACGTATGTGTATAATATAATAAATATGGACATTAAATTATCATTAATTCTACTACATTATTATTCACATTAAATTTTTAAATATTAAAGCAATTTTGATTAATGAAAGACATTTTTGAAGAAATCGTTTATAAAATGCAAATATTAAAAATCTAAGATGAAAAAATGAGGTAATTTTTTCCTTGGATGGTTTATTGAATTTGTGAATTAAATCAAATAAAAATATAAATATTCGAATAGTTTCTTCTCAAAAATTTTTAATAAATTTACCTTTCCTTTAGATTTGAATCTCGAAATTTCATTTTTCAACAAGAATTAAAAGAGTACATGTTACAATTTGATAAAATTAAGAAGAAAATTATTCAGTAAATTTTTAATTTAATTTAAATTTTTAATTAAACTAATTTTAATTAGTTTATTGATTCTTTATTAGCTGTATAATTGATTAGTTTATTGAATCTTTTGACCTATGATAATAAATGATGGTAATAAAAATTAAAAAGTATAATAAAAAAAAAGAAAGAAAAATCTTCAAGACTTTTGCAAAAAAAATTTATAGAAAATGTTTGAACGGAAAAATAGAAAGAAGTATCTGAAATTTTAAGATATAAAATAATTCTTTATTTATAAAATTGTATATTCATTGTAATATTATGTCATACTAGCGTATATATATCCTATTTGATTTATTTATCCAATTATTTCTTAAACTATTTCACTTTTTGAAAAATAAAATTTTAAATGAAAATTGTTTCAAGAATATTTCATAATAGTCACATATCTTATTTAGATGGACATATCTTTCAAGATTTTATTTTTTTATTGGAATGATATCGTATAATATGTATGTATGTATATATTTATCTAATATATATGTATATTATTAGATATAGTCTAATATAATTTAATGGCGAATAATAAATTAATATATTACTCTAATAATTCAAAATTTATTTATTGATGGTTGATGAATAATGATTAGAATTATATTATAAATAGAACAATTATATTATAAATAGATGAATTTATATTTGTAGGATCTAAATAGAAACATGTAGTTTTTCATTAAAAAAAAAAACTTTGAAAGGTACATTTATTTAATTAAAATTTATAACTATCACGAAATGTTTTTTTAAAAACAAAGCAATTTTCATTTGAAACATTTTTTCCAAAAATGAATAATTTAGAAAATGGTTGTGTGAGTCATTTCAAATGAAATGTCTAATATATGTATGTACACTTCCATTTATATTCAAACATCTTTAATTTTTAAAAGCAGAAACAAACAAAAAATTCAACAGAATTTCAATATAAAAATATCAATTGATTAATTTATAAAATTATTAGCAACTGAAATTTGCGTTAGGCGATATGTATATTATTTATATAAATTTTAATTTAAAATTCACTTTTCTTATTGCTTTATCAAAAAAATTTTCTAAATTATAAACTTTCATTAAATTTCTGGTTGTGCTGCTTTTTCAAAACATTTATCTTTCTTACAAAACTCGCTCGTTAAAATTTTAACGTTCTTGTGACTGAAAATTTTCCGACTCATAACCGAGTCTTTTACAATTTTTCAAAATTCTATCCAATATTTTAATATAAAAACGAAAAAACAAAATAAAAAAATTAATAATATAATTCATTATATGTTCATATCGAATTTGTTCTTAAATAATATTTAAGATTATATTATTAAATAATAATATTTTTTATAATTTATTAATATTTTATTTATAATAAATATTACATAAATAAAACTTTTCTTTTTCTTTTTTTCATATTAATAATATATAAAATTTGAAGAACATGATTTATTACATGTATTTTACATGTAAAAAATATTTTATTGATATATAATTTGATATACGAATATAATTTGTATATTTGTACAATTACGTATTTATTTTCAAATGATCTAAAAAATAATAGTTTGCAAGAAAATTTCTATTTTGGTCAACATGTGGTACTGATATCAAATTTATTGCCTTATATAGACGTGACGCGTGATGCTAAAAGCTGATGATACCGATGCCAGCATTGTGCTTCCTCTTTTTATAACCCTATGTATCCATTTAGTTTATGTATCTGCTGTAATTTACCAGATTCGTCAAATCAGGGATTTATAATATTCGTAAAATCTACATATTTTAAGAATTTGTTTTATAGTTCTTACTTCAATAATTTCAATATGATAACATTTTAAATTTTCATTGAAAATCTCTCAAAAATGGAATTACATTAGACATTTAGTATACGAGCTGATTATAACATATCTGATTTTTTATTATTAATATTTTCATTGTCAATAAACATGTATATAAAATATTTTTTGTAAATTTTAATATATTAAATATGAATTGTATCATTAAATATAAATCATACTTCTTCAGAATCTAGTTTATGAAAAAAATTAATTTAAAAAAAAATGCAATTTTCCAACTTTGAAAATGTTTTTACAGTAAATTGTTCAATTGCTCTTGACACGAAATGATTCTGTGAATCTGTGTATTCTCTCTAATAAAATTATATAAGTAATTATTAGGTAGTAATTATTAGATAGTAATTAATATAAATATGTTTAAAAAATAATCAAAATTAAAAAAATAATACTCTTCAATTTATTTCAAAAAATAAAAGTTAAAAAGAAAATATCATGTCATGCAATAAAGTATATCTTCTTGCTGAAAAAAACTATAAAATTATTTTTGTTTTTAATATAGAAGTGAAATAGCAAAACGATGACAGTGATATTCAATAAGAGCGGTTGCTTCACCGTAATTTTGCTATATTATATGGCAGGCGAGCATCATTGAGTATATTGCTAGTGTTTTATCAAACTATTTCGCTTCCATATCGAAAACAAAGTTACTTTCTCAAAATAGCTTCTGTCAATGTTTTTCTTAGAAAAAACATATGCTCTATCACATGGCTTGACTAGATTTTTTTTTGACTTTTAGTTTTTGAAATAAATTGAAAAATATCAACAAAAATAGATATGTTTTGGGTATTCTTTCAAATTTGATTATTATTTAAATATATTTAGATATTTATAATCAAATAACTACTTTATCATTTTATTCGAGAGAATTCATAGAATCATTCAACTAAATAATTATTACTATAAAAACATAAAACGCTTCTAAAGTTACATTTTTTTTAAAAATTGATTTTTTTCAAGAATTGTAAGTTTTAGAAAAATATGATTTACAGATTCGTATTCCATTAAAGTGTATAAGAAATGCCTTATATTGAAAGTTATAAAATAGAAAAAAATTAAAATTTGCCAAAGAGTATTATAACAAAGTCATATCTATAATAATAAACAAATAGATCATTCGAATAATATTTTCGAATATTAGAACAATCATTTTTTTATATTAAATTTACTAATTTTATATTATTATTTACTTAAATCAACAAATTATTCAACATTCAATGATGATAATTTGTTTACATAAAAATTCCATATCGAAATTAAATCAATTTTTCGATATAAAATAAAATAAAATAAATAATGTAAATAAATAATTATCATAATTAATTATTAAATTTTGCTATAAAAATTTTTTCAGCAATATTATTATTTGAATGATCAATGATTTCAAATATTTTCATTTTTTAAATATTTCAAATTGTTGATAATTGCTGGAGAATTTTGTGTCTTCCATTAATTTATTAAGATTTATTAAGCTTGTTTTACTATTTAAATTTTCTGAGATTTATTTAATACATATTATTTAACATCAATTTTTCTACTTTTTAGTTTCTAGTTTGTTAATTATTTTATATTTGTCTTTAATAATTAAATATGTGTTTTTATATAAAGTGATATTTTTTTAACTTTATAATAAAGTTAATTCGTTTGATTAAATACTAAAATATTTGTTGTCAATTATTTAGATATTAAAGTATTTATATGTATATCAGAATATTTAAACATTATAAATTTAATCTACTGTAATTATTTTACATCATGTATTCTTAATAATAAAAAACGAATTAATAAATAATTCTTCAGAATTTTGTATTTCTTAACAATTTGGCTTAATAAAATATGTGTAATTTAATATTATTTTCTTCAATTTTTATTATTCCATTTAAAACGTTTTAAGTAAAGATTCATAATCATAATATATTGATGAAAATTAATAATTATAACAATAAGATTAACACCTAATAATATAGTAAATAATGCTAGAATTTTTGGATAAATTAGATTTCTCTTTTTAGTTTAAAAAATAAAATAAAAGATATAATTTAAGCCAATTATAAAATTCTTTTTTAGTTTTTCTATAAGATAAGAAAAACTTTTTTAAATTGAAAAATTTAAAATTTCTACAAAACTTATAAATTTTTCAAGAGTATCAAAAATTGAAAAATTTACATTCAAGCAAGACGGTTTTTTATTATTCTAACTCACCCACCATTGAGTACGTGGACTAGAACACTGGCTGACTCGGCTGTAGACGGAGCACATGTATAATTTCCAGAATCAGCAGGTAACGCCCTGGATATCAAGAGACGCGACGTTCGTGTTTGTTTTTCAGTTACTACATTGATACCTCCTCTTTGACTGTAATTTATCACGTGATCATCTTTATACCTGAAAATTTAACGATCTTATATTAATTAAAATCATCTAAGAATATTACTTAAACTTTAGCTGTTAATAATAAAATACATAATTTTTATTCAATAGAATTTGTCATGTAAAAGCAATATATAAATATTAAGAAAAAATTGATATTATTAATTATGATTATTTAAGTAATCCAAAAATTTTAACAAATGAAATCCGTCATTCCATCATTGATGAATGATCATTGAAAAATATCACTAAGTATGTAACATGTACTTGATAAGAAATTCGCCATCTCTTTTCTTTTATTCATATTTTTTTCACTATGTATATATAGTGACTATACTACCGATTATCACTATGTATATATAGTTGTATGCAAAAATTTCCGGTCAGGAATTATCTGAATAAATTTTGTTTCATCCTTTCTTTAAAATTTCGAATAATTCTTTTGTTTCGATGTTTAAATTTATTTATGCATCGTTTTAGCTCTGCCCATAAATATTGAATGCTCGGCAATTAAACAACAAATTTTTATATTTTATATTTTTTATATTAAGGCATAATAATTATTTAATTGGTTTTGATATGTGTTTTTGTGTGTGATGATTATCATTAACAATTACATGTAAAGAATTGATATTGAAAATTAATATAATTAATAAAAAAAAGGTATTTTGATATCTGTTCAATTAATAATTTTTTATTTCAGGACAAGAACTAATTTAAAACGAGAATCTAAAAAAGAAAAGAATCTTAAAAGAACTTGTTTAATTTAATTTACATTTAATTTAACTAATAATTCTTATATTTGTTCCAATCAGGATCAAATTTTCGTTTTTTTTTAAATTTTGATTTCATTTGCTTTTCCGAGTATAAATTAAATATTTATGGAAAGATGGAATAATTCATATAAGATTTAACAGATTTAGATATTAATCTTAGAATATAAAGCGAAACATATAATTGAAATTTTTACAGACAATTAAAAAATTTAATTTGTCAAATATCATACTAAATAATGTGACTTTAAAAATAACTTATTATGATCAAAACGAATATGATGTAAATATATATATATATAACTATTTGACTTTGTTTTACTTTATAAAAAGTAAAAGATTTACTATTATTCTTTAAGATTTACAATATTTATATTACAGAAATTTCATGATATATTGTAACAGTATTATTATAAATTTCTAACATTATTTAAATTATTTTTATATTCTGAAACTACAAAAAATTAGATAGAAAACGAATACGATATCTTATATTTCTGTCCCTTTCTTTATCATATAAAATAATAATATGTTTTAATATAACGAATATGTAACAAAAATTAATATTGAAACAAATTTATAAATTTATATCAAAATAATGTGAAAATATTTCTATTTTATGTTATTACATATGATTAAATTTATTATTAAATAATATGTAATAAAAGTAAGAATAAATGTAATGATAAATAGAATAATAAAATTGTAATAATCACAAAAAATTTTAAAATTTTAAAATTACAAATTAGTAATAAAAACATTTTCTTTAAATTTTTGAATTTTTATCGCTTTTACTTCACTATTTTTTATTAAACGTTGAAAAAACTTTTTACAGTTCAATCATTCAACCGTTTAATCATTAGAGAAAACAATAAGGATAAAAACAGCAATTTCGATCCAATGACGATTTTCCATTTGCCATTGATGTTCTGACGTTCATTTTAGCATGTAATCGAGAACCGTCTCGATGAACATTCCCCATTCATGGATGTTCATATTACGCGGTGGTTGTGAGAATATGGTATTTATGATCGAGCTTCAAATCAAATTTGCGAAAGTCTAATTAAACTCACCAATAAATGAAGGACGGTGGTTCAGGAGTCTGCAATACTATACAGGTCAGATTGATATCGCTTCCACTCTTGATGTATAGTTCTGAGTTACCATTGATCTTCGCCTTTGACACTATCAACATAATCAATTTGATATTTCATAGATCGATACATTTTTAGAAAGTATATAATTATATATGATTTAAATAATTTTTAAAATTTACTATTATGTAAAATAATAATTGAAATTAAACAAATTAACTTTGATTATCTCATTCGATTATTCATATCTAAAAACATGATAATATTTAAGTTTAGAAGATATTTATATCAATATCTAATTCAAATAGAGAAAACTTTTTAAATTTATATTAATTTTTTCGTTAAAATTTATGCAGAAAACTTAAAGTTTTTTCTCTTGAAATATCGACACATTATTTTTTTTCACAAAAATAAAACGATAAAAATTTTTTTTACTCAAATAGAAAATATGAAATATTTTTCTGAATTTCTTGAAAAATATATAGAATTAAAGTAAATCAATATATAATATTAAGCATTATATTTATATTTCTAAAAATTTATTTAAGTAATTAATCTATCTTTTTTACATCATAGATTTGTGATTTGTAATAGTTTTACAACTGAAATAAAAAATATTATTATCATATATATGATCATACAATAGAACCTCTCGTATCAGAATTTCGAAATCTAAAATCATATTTAAATCTATTATCTGCATGTTTTTCTATTCAAAAATTTACATAACTAAATAAGTTACAAATAAAACATCATTGAATCAATCATTCACTTCGTTATAGAACTACCATCAATTCATTATCTGAAATTCAATTCCAGAAAAAAAATTTTAAATTATTTTTACGTTAAAAACATTAGTTATAAAAACCGATTTTTTTATGATAAATAAGATTCAATGAATTTGTCTCGTCATAAGATTTTATGCATTAAATCTAAAAATATACTATATTCCTTGAATCCATAGCATTTCAATGTTAATCCTGGACATGCAAATTTTGAAAAATATGATATATATATATATATATATATAATTTTTGCACCAAAACTGCAATGCACCGTTATTTTAACTAACATTAGAACAAAATGAAGATATTTATTATTAATTAAATATTATTAAATTAAATAAACAATAATAATTAATCATATTATCTTGAAATTTATTTCAAAAATAGTTTATGTTGCGAATGTTAATGGTATCATTTTCTTTTATTATCAATATCTTTCAATGATTGCACATCACATGGTCGATTCACTATTTCTGCATCTGTAGACATTAAATTACCCGTGATGTATGCACGAATAGTGAATGCCAGAAATTCTTTGCTATTAATGTGATTTCGATGTATCTCTTGATGTCGTTAAGCCGTAGCCCTCGCGTTTCCATCGCATTGAGCATATATTCACAACATATTAAAATATTTCATACTGTCAACATGATATATGTTCACTGTGATACAATTCGCACTATGTAATATTTATATTTATATTTATTTATTATATATTAATATTATATTTATTATATAATAAATATAATTTATTATTCTAATTTTTTTATTATTCTTATCATTCTTTATTATTCTTAAAGTTCTAATATTGAAATGTTTGTATGTATATAAAAATTTGCTGAATTCACAAAATGTTTGAGAATTTTATTTCATTCAAGTAAATCAAGAATTAACAAGCTTCTGATTTTTCTTAGATTTTTAGAATGTTTGTGCTCTTTGAACTCCTCTTGATTTACCGAATCATGGTTTTTCAATGAAACATATACTGATCAATGACAATACAGATCAATCTCCTGATTATAGAATACTCCTAATTTAAGGAAAATTCTTAAGACTGTAGAAGAAAATTATATAGAAAATTGATTGAATGTTATAATAAATTTTCTAAATTGTAGGATGATATTAATTATCATTGAAATTAATATTGAAAATATCGTCTTAAAACTTCGTTTAAACTACAGTAACGTTGAATTATTTTTAAAAAAGATATAATTCTATGGTCTTATAAATATTTCTCTCAAAAATGGCATAGATTTTTAGATTAACATTTTTTTTAGATATCTATTAACAAAGAATTGGTATATTTCGAGGAGAAACTTATCGGATAAATATATTTACTGACAAAGAATAAGAGGAAGGAGAGAAAGAGAGAGGATTTATGCAACAAAATTTTTAACTTTCCAAATATTTTATTTTTAATTTAAAATCCTTTAATGGAAAAACAATTTTATTTAAAAAATATTAAATCTTAAATTTTTATTCAACAAAAAGTTTTTTAATTTAATTTTTTCTTAAAAAACAAATAATTTTAATATAATTTATAATTCATTTCTCGTTTACTTAATATATATTTAAATTATATCAAACTATACTTTTATATTTTTGATGATTTATCGAATAATAATTCAATATGAAAAAATAATAATAAATTGAATATAAATTGAATGTGACATAAACTAAATATTCAATTTTTTTTTCATTTTTTAATTGTAAATGCAATGTGATGCTTATTATTATAAAATAATTTATTCAATATACATTAGATTCACAGTTTTAGGAAAATTTACAGCACAGTAAAATTGATTATCATTTTTGAAAAATTTTAAAAAATACTTTTATATTTTATAAATATTAATATTTTTTAAAAATGAGTATATTTCAATTCTCATAGATATAGAATTCGACATAATTCAAAATTACAAACAATTTTTAAAATTTCCATAATATCATAAAATTGTATCATAAAGCTTTGAATCTGCAAGAGTCATGGTTCATCATAATTAACTTATTGGCTATAATTTAAATTTATTTAGAAAATAAATTTAAAAATAATTGATTTAAAAAATTAATTATTTATAATGAAAATAATAATTAATTTTAAAAATTAATTGATTGATAAATTTAAATTAAAATTAATTACAACAAATTTTTTTAATTACTTAAATAATTAAATAAATATATTCAAAATATATTAATAGTAAAAAAAATTCTATAAATTTGTATTAATTGAATTATATCGAATCTTGTATTATGTTTAAAGGAGTCATAATATTATATATTTTTAAAAAATATTTCAATTGGAATGTAATTAAAGTAGAAATTTTAAAACGATATTCAAGCCATGCAAAAATTTTAATGATAATTAATACTATATTACATTCGAAGAAATTTATAACAAATTTTCAATCAATTCTCTTGAACTACGGACTCTGCACACAATCTTCTTCTTTAACTTAATTTTAAGACTTTTCTTTAAATTAAAAATATTCCATAATCAGAGGACTGATCTACCACATTGTTATTGGTGATACACCCATTGAGAATCTAAAATCCAGTAATATGAACGTGGAAAGAAGGTCAAAAGATATAAATGTAAAAATCTAAGAAAAATTAGAAGTTTGTTAACATTTGAACTATTCGGATGAAATAAAATTCTCAAACAGTATGAATTTGTGAATTCAGTGAACTTTAAATGTATACAAACATTTCAATGTTTTAATATTAGAACTTTAAGAATAATAAAGAATAATATGAATAATAAAAAAATTAGAATAATAAATCATATTATATAATTATAGTGCGAATTGTATCACAGTGAATATATATCATATCGACAAGTATGGAATATTTTAATGTTGTATATATGTGTGTATATGTTGTATATATATGTTGGATATATGCTCAGTGCAATGAAAATAGGAGAGTTGCAACTCAACAGTATCAAGAGATATCGAAATCACATTAATAACAAAGAATTTCTAGTATTGATTACTCGTGCATACAATATAGGTAATCTAATGCCCAGAGTTGTAGAAGTGAATCGTTCACATGATATGCCATCGTTCAGAACCATTGAAAACGATAACGTTAACATTTGCAACATTAGCTATTTTCGAAATAAGTTTCAAGAAAACATAATTAATTATTAATTAATTTGAAGAAATAATAAAATAATTTGAAGAAATAAGTTTCAAGAAAACATAATTAATTATTAATTAATTTGAAGAAATAATAAATAATAATAAATGTTTAATGATAAATTCTTCATTTTGTTTTGTTAGTGTTAATCAATAGTGCATCACAGTTTCAAAGAGCATAATATATTTGCGGATGTAAAATTTCTTAGGATTATGTTCAACAGAATTATACAATTCACTTATATCACTATAAAGAATGGATAAGTAAATCTTATTTATCATAAAAAAATCGATCCTTTTTAGAATCACCAATATTTTTAACGCAAAAATAATTCAAAGTTCTCTTTTGAAGTTACTGAATTAGAAATAATTAGTTGGTGATCGTACAATAAAATGAATAATAAATAAATTGTTTTAATGATGTTATGTATATTATTTTTTAGTGATGTTTTTCAATGTATTTGTCAATTTATAATATTGTTTATTATTTATTTCAAATATATATATTATTTATTGTTTATTTGTTAGAAAAATTTGATATTTGTCTTTTTATTCATTTTGAATAATGAATAAAACTCGATATATTCGTTCTATACGAATAACAATTATTCGGTTTATTTATTGTTCGCGATATAATTCAATATAATTTTTTTTCGATAAAAAATATATTCAACACGCTTTCTTTGACTCTATTCGATTCACTACGCTTCGTGATTGGCAAGTATTTTTTTGTTATAACAAAGTTATAACGAAAGTTTTTAAAAAGTAAAATGTTGCTTTTTCATCTTTAAATTTACATATGACTTTAATCATTTATAGATTATTTTTTAATTTTTCTTATTTTATTTTTTTTAACGAATATAGAATCTACTTTATAATTGAAAATAAATGCTTTGAATATGAAGAACAATTATAAATTATATATTTCGAATATGAAGAATAAATTAATAATTAATGCAAATAATTCTATCATTTTTATAATTACCGCTTTAATTTTGTTCATATAATTATTTTTATTATTGTTAATTTATTATTGCTTATTATAATTATTTAATAATTGTTAGTTTTATTAATTATATTAATATTATAATTGCTATCGTATTATAGAACGGATAGGAAAAAATTTTTTTTAATACTAATTTTTTTGCATTTTTTATTTATGATGGGATTTTAAGTAAATGCACTTTTATCTTTTAAAATTAAGAACATATAAATGATAAATCTAATTTAATAAATTTAATTTTAATTTAATTTTAATTTAAAATTTTTTAATGCATTCCTTGTTTGTTGAATACAATATTTTTGTTGAATAAAATATAAGAAATGATAATTAATAAATCAAAACATCTATTAGTATTTGATTAATATATATATATATATACATAAAATAATAAAAATTTTTGTATGATACTTTATAACAAAATTCACATACTTAAGAATTTTAATAAAAATTTATGTATATATAAAACATAATAGACTATAATAGAATATAAAGAAATTCTTTTCTTAAATTCGAAAAATCTCTATAAAAATATGAAATTAATTTTTAAAGTTTCAGTATTTTTTTAAGTTTTGATCATAATTTCACGCTTAAAATTTTTAAGCGTTTTTTTTGCATTTTTTAAACATAACTTTATATTGATACAAGATAAAATAAAATTTTAAATTTTAAAATATTCAGAATTTAATATTTTGTTATTCTAAAATTTTAAGATGAAATTGTATTCAAAATTTAAAAAAATATTAAAATTTTGAATTTTTTTTTTTTTTTTTTTTGATTTCACATTCTGCATCACATTATTAAGGACAAACATTTGAAATTTTGATAGAATTGTGATTTGTAAAGCGATCAGATTGAATTTTATTTTCAATAATTCTAATATTTTCAATAGTTTTAGTAATAATTTACAAGTGAGTACAGTTCCCTCACATTTTCCACAAATTATCAATAGCAGTAACTAAGATATAATAGATGGTCACTTCACAAATCACACTTATGGCGCCAAATGCCTCATAATAGACCACCATAGCAATCGCAAGATTCTTGACCAAATGCTCTGCGATACGATTTTTAGAAACCGCGTTACAACGAGATCATTCGTTTTTTTAATCTCTTTTTAATTTATATTTTTCGCTGAAGATAATGATTAGAGGAAGAACCAAAATCCACAATAATTATATAAAATAAATAAATAATTAATAGAAAATTCAATCAAGATAGAATACATATCAATTCGGTAGATAGAATTCAGATCAATAATTAAATTTAGATATAGTGTAGATCGGAGCACAGTTAAAGGTCAGGTAGAAATCAATCAATTGTCAGCCGATCAGTTGCAAATAGAGTCAATCATTTCATTTATTATTCAAGGCTCACAATGCAAATTGTACAAACCATAATTAATTCTTTGAGCGATAGCAGTTTAGGTATTTCTATTTTGTGCAATACTTAAAGTCTCATTTAGTTAGACTTTCATCGATAAACGAATTTCTTTATTATAGCTTATTATTTTCTATACATATACTAACATATACTAATTTTCATTAAAATCAGAATTTTTAGATTGAAAATGAATTCTTTTGTAAAATAGCGAAAATTTATAAAGCTAAAAAATATTAGCATGATAATGATATATATATGAAAATGTAGCTTTAATTATAAATGAAAATAATTATACAAAATTCAATAGTAGTAAATAAAATTCTTATAATAAAATTACAAGAAAATAAGATTTGGCAAAATCTAGAAATATTAAGCTATATTATTAACTAAATATATATATAAATAAATATATATAAATCAAATTAAATATTATTAAAAAATAAAAATATGATATTTTGTAAATAATATGCTATATATAGATAAAAATTTTAAATAGTGTTAATAAAATTAATTAAACAAATTCAAAAATTAATAGTATAAAATTAAATAAAAAAATAAAAAAAAAACAAATTTTCAAAAAAATAATAATTAATAAAAATGAAAATATATATCTGTAACAATAATATATCTGAACAAAAACAATAATTTTGAGTATTTTTTACATTATTATTACATTATTAAAGAAATTTTTAAAATAAATTTTAATAATTATTTATTTACTAAATTTAGTCACATTATTTAATGTTAAAACATTTATTTAATTTGTAACTAGACATGGAATTTTTAAATATATATAGAATTCATAAATAAACTATCATTATTGAAAATTTTGACTATTTAAATAAATAAAATTCAATATAAAAAAGATGATTATCTAATATTTTATTTCAATAATTTATCTTTCTATTAATATCCTATTAATATAGGAGACTTTATAAAAATACAAACATAGCTTGATAATGAATTTTATTTAGATAGATGTTAAATAATTAATTTAAAATGTAAACAATTCAAATATAATATTGATTTATTAATGATAATAATGCAATTCATCTCATAATATTTGTTTCTACTGCTAAATTGCTTTCAAAAATTGTATTGAAACGATTTTTTTATAAATTATAAAATGATTTATATTAAATTGATGAAAAGATAAAGAAATGAAAAAATTGAAATATAATAAATAATAATTTGTAATAAATAACAATAAACTAAAGTTGTAAACTTTGTTTTTATAAGAGTATATGAAATTTGCTATTTTTTCACACTTCATTTCATTGATCGAAATATATTATTTCAAATGTATTTTATTACTAATTCATAAAATAAATAATAAAACAATTATGTAGAATATAAATTTATAATTTTACGTTTCATTCAGTCATGGCGTTAAAATGATCGTCGAAAAACGTTTTACATTGATGTAATTTTGTAATAAAATTTTTCTATTATTTGACAATGAAATTTATCGAAGAGAAGAATTGTATTTGTATATTATGGATACTAACCTACGACACTCAAGTTAAAAGCCTGACTGATTTTCGATTCAGTTGAGACTTGACATTCGTATGTTCCGCTATCTCGAACTTGTGGTGAACTAATCCTTAAAGTCCATTCGTCAGACCCATCTCGGTGTAATGATTGGAAACGTTGATCATTTGTATACGTTAAGATTCCTACGGTAAGAATATGCAAGTCTCGTTTCCTGATCCATGAAACCTGCAACGAAACACAAAAATTTTTAAGTAAATAGCTTCACGAAAAATTGATAATATACAAAGAATAGATTTTATTATATTCAAAAAATTGACAGTTTGTCACAAAATTTTATATTTTATATATATTTTCAATTTATATTTTTATACTTTTAATTTGTATTTCTTCGTCATATTTTATTGATCGAAAATTTATAAATTAAGTTTATAAAATATAAAATTTAATCATAACATTATATCAATTTATAATATAATTATAATATTATTTCTGAAATTTTCAGTTGTAACATAATGTAAAACGTACGGAGATATGATAAAATATTTTGATTACTCATGGAAATATATAAATTTTTCGATTAAAATTTCAATTTATTAATAATATTTTCAAATTAAGAATTAATATTTTAATATTTTTTAACGTATTTTATTCTTTTTAATTTTTTCATTCAAAAAAATACTATCAATGAAAAAAATAAAGTTAGCAATTCATTTAAAGTTTTTATTTTTATTTTTATTATGATTTACAAATATCAAAGAAGTGTCAAAGGAATAATTAGAGAAAAATGAATAAATAAATTGTTTGTGAGTAAGATATATAAATATAACTATAAATCCATATAATCTTTTACTATTGCGCTCGAATAATTTTACAAAAACGGACTGAGTATTTATTGGATAAAGCGGACGGAACGGAAACAGAATTTATGATCGTACGCTTTGGTAAATCCAGCGCAGAATTATCGAGAAAATCTTCCCCCGATTCGATACGCTTTGTTCACCGAATTTTATATTACATTCAATCGCGTGTAATCGCCGCAAACGAAAAAAAAACAAATGAAAAAGAAAAAAGTTAAACTAGTAGAATTGGAATGAATAAAAGAAAAAGAAAGATGAAAATAGAGAAAGGAGAAGGAATCAATTTTCGAATAACTCTCGATGCGAAAATATTTAACTGATCTGTAATAATCTTCGTTTACAGTTCTCAATCTTCTATCGAATTCAATTATCCACGGCTGGAAATTTTAAGCTTGTAATTTTTCACAACAGAAAATTTCAGTTTAATTTAAAAATAATATTATTGAAATATTATTTTCTCAATTTTGAAGAATTTAAAATATGTAAATGCTGAAGAAAATTTTAAGCAATTTTTTCGTACATATATAATCGGTAATCAACCTTAGTTTATGGGCACAATATTTTTTTATATTATATATTATTAATATATAATTGTGTAATTTTGGTATAAGATTTTGTTTTCTATCTAATCTATATCGATTCATTAAAACTTATCATGTTCTAAATCATTTGAATAAATTGTTATCGGTTGAACTACACAAGAAAACAATTGCGAAATTTCCTAGAAGCATTAAACGTATGTCATATTTATCTCTTACCGGATTCCTAGTTTATCTTTATATGATAAATTATAACATTACGAAATCAAAAATAAAATAAATTTTACTATTTACTAATTTATTAATTTATTTATTTCAATTAAAGATTTAAATTTTTTTTAATTTCAAAAGTAAACTTTAATTGTTCAATCGATATTTCTATACAGCAACTTTGATATTTGTTTTAACTTTTGCAATTAATTTTTTAAAAATGTTCCACAAATACATATATATATAAACAATATATAATAATATATAATAATAAAGCATACTAAGCAACTTTCTGATTTTTCGTTATTTAAAATTTACAATGACTGGTTCATAAAGTTTCTTTTTATTTTTACTATTATTTGAGGTTTTATGAACGTTTAATTTGCAAAAAAATTTTTTAGTAATAGAAAAGACATTAGCATATACTTTGAATATATTGAAAAATAGAAACAAAAAAAAAATATTAAAAAATTTCTTTGTTAGGAAAATGGTAAAAATATTTTAATATTAATATTTTAAATGTATGAATATACATATATTGCTCATCTTACATACATTGTTTATTCATATTTTATCTGAAATGGATCAAGTTTATAAAATTACCCATTTTGTCTCATATTTTTACATAAACATATTTTTATTAAAAAAAATTCAATTTTGATTTTTTTCTGTAATTGTTAAGGTATACTTTATATATTTTATTATGTATGTAAAATTTAGATATATTATTCTAATATTGTTAATTTCAAAACATTAAAAATCATAAGATGTGATATAATTTTAAATTATATGCATAAGAAAATACATGTTCAAAATATAATGTTGTCCTTAGTAATACATATATTTTAAGTTCATTGAAATCGATGGTGAGATAGTTTTCCGACAAGTTCATCCAATTTAACTTTCGTCAAATATAATTGGAATATACTAGAATCCTCGGAAATAGGTGGCTTATCAGAGAAACGTTTCTTCGTGTTGAAATGGTGTTGAAAACAAAATTAATATCTCCTGTCCTTACAGGAAATTACTTGTAGTAAGACGAGATTTGCCTATTAAATGCCGGTTGAGAAAAATGCAGAAATATTGCGCATTTTTCTACGATTTGCATGTTTTGTTCTAATAAATAAGATGCAATATATTTTCTTTAAGTATAAAATTATTTTTCTTTTCTTATTTTTTCATTAAAATTTGTTTCGAATAAAATTAAATGAATTTCTTCTGTTTATTATTTTTAAGATACAATTGAAACATTTAAAATTTTCTTTTATATAAATTATATAACATAGATTTTATATAAGATAATCCGTAAGTAGCCTAAAAATAATTATTTTATATTTAATATTTCAGTTACGATAATATAAAAAAATATTTATATACAATATAAATAGTACCACAAAATGAATTCTCTATAAAAAATATTTTTCTTCCATTTTAAAAGTAAACTTTATTTCTATCGGAAACATTATTCGGAAAAATTTTTGCAATTTATTGCAATAATCAATAAATAATATATAAATTGTAAAACTATTTAAAATGATCTTTCTCAAATTATTCAATATATAAAAAATCGTGATGACTATTACACAACATATTCTATACATTTATTTAATTTAAATATTTTATTAACTTCAATATTTTCTGTATTTTTGCAATAAAATAATTTTAATTTAAAATAAAATAAAAAATATAAGTGAATAAAAAATAACATGTATAAAAATGAAAATTAAATTTGAAAATTAAATAAGTTTTCCATTAAGATAGAATAATGAAAAAAGTTAAATTTTAACATGAATTATATCATATAGATCATCAGAATAATGAAAACGAATAAAAGAGAAATTAAAAACATAATATTTTAATTCATAGAAAACGAAATCATTTTAGTTATTAAAACTTTTAGTTGTTAAAAGTTGTACATATTTTAAACTTATTAACTGATATGAATCAGAATTGCTGTACTTTACTATACAACTTTATAATTTGAGATGAAACACCTTTATATAGATATGCTTTGTTTACTATAAAACTTTATAATCTCAGATAAAATAGCTTTAGATGCATCGATATGGAATAACAACGTAAGTATATACTAAAATATTTATAGAACTTTTAAAAAGTTAATTCTAGAGATCAAAAGAAATACAAAAAAATTCATATATCTATAAATTCTATATAAATCGATTGCTTTTATTAAGAGATTGTTATAAATAATCTAAATTTGCATTAGAAATGAAACAATAATATAATGAGAAGTCTATTTTTATCTTTATCGCCCCTATTACCTCCGTCTCACTTCATTTAATACAGAAATAATTAAATTGCTTAATAAAACATATGATATCATAAACTAAATTTATTTTCAAAAAATAATAATATTGAAATATAATATTTATTTTTTATTATAAATATTAAGAGTAAATACTATACCGAGAAAAATACTAAGTTACTCAAAAATATTAAAAAATATTTATAAATCTCGAGAGTAACGTAACGTTTTAAAGAAAAGATTTTAGATATAAAAGTTTCACAAAGTTTCAAGTGGAAATAAAACTATCCTAATTTTTTATTTACGTTTTGACATTTTTATGCTTATTTAAAATCTTTTTTTTTTTAAATAAACATCTACATTTTTACAATTTTCACAAATTTTTATTTTATGAAAAAGGAATAGGAAAATTATATATTTAGTTTTTTTTAGTAGATGTTATTTTAAAACGATATTTAATGAAATAAATGCTTTTTTCCAAATTTTACTATCATCAAAGACAATATTTATATTATATTTGTGCATGTCTATCTCTTTAATCTATGATTCAACTATCAATTTATTATAATTTGTATAGGTTTTTAATAATCATTCTCATTATAGTAAATTGGTTATTTGTTAAATTGTATTGCTTTATTTTATATAATATCATATAAATTTTATAAACATATTAGAAGAAATTAGCAAAATACTAAATTGTTATCAATTTAAAAATTTTATTGAAAAAAGTATTGAATCTTTCAAAACCAAAGAGATAGCAATTAAATACAATTATTCAAACACTAACTTTGTATGTTTAACTTTAATGATCTATATCATTGTTAATTATACAAAAAATAAATTCAAACTATTTCTTTTGATAAAATATTTATTATGATATGATTTGATAAATATTTATAAATGAGCGATTTCATTATTTAACTTGATATAATAAAATATGTATTAATTAATTAAATCATTATTTTTCGCCTCACAAAAATATTTAGATATATATAATATAAATAATAAAATAGCAATTTTTTTATTAAAAATTATTTTTTATTAATTATTTATTCGTATGTGTCTTGAACAACATTAAAAGAATTCAATAAGCTTGCCAGCTTCATTAAGCACACTAAATAATAATATTTTATAAAAAAATTTTAAATTATTTAAAAAATATGTGTTATTGTATTGTTTATTGATTATTAATAAGTTTTATACAATCATGACGAATATATAAGTAAATGTGACTTAAATAATAAAAAAAAAAATATGTTGTAATGAAAAGAATCTTAAATATTAATTTGCATTAAATGAAATGAAATTTAAAAAAAATTAATTATTTAAAATAAGAGAAATGAAGAAATTAAA